ATGTCTGGGGTAGGGCGATGTCGTACCCGCTGGAGAAGCAGGTCGACACAGTCGTGCACGCCGACGGTGGAAATGACGACAGTAGCGAGGACTGTGGCAGCAGCAGCGTCAGCGGAGGCAGGGACTGGTGAACAATAGGCCAGATGGGTGCCGAGAAAGCCGGCGGCAGCGCGCTCGGCGAGGGTGGCGATGATGGAGGCGGCGAGGGCGGTGGCGAGGGTGGAGGCGGCGAAGGCGGCGACGAGGGTGGCGGCGGCGACGGTGGCGGCGGGGGTGGGGGCGGCGAGGGCGGCGGCGGCGAGGGCGGCGGCGAGGGCAGCGCAGAGGGGGGCGGTGGTGAGGGTGGTGGTAGTGAGGGCGGCGGGGAGGGTGGCGGAGGCGACGATGGCGGCGGCGATGACGGTGGCGACGGTGGCGGTGGAGACGGTGGCGGGGGGCTGGGCGGTGGCGGACTGGGGTAAGGCGTCGACGGCGGCGGAGGCGAGGGCGGCGGCGGCGTCGGTGGAGGCGGATCAGGCACCATTGAGGGTGGTGGCGCCACCGGGTCTCCGGCAATAACCCCCGGGAAGCAACCGGAATACCCCGTTGACTGTGGTTCGCCGCAGAACCCTCTTTCCTGGCACCATTTATCAGCCTGTGGAGACCATGAGCATGACCCCTCTGCGAGGGGGCTGCAACCGTCTTTGTCCGCTATACGAAAGATGTCTGCCGTTGTGTTTGTGCCGTAAGTTCCGCCCTTCGTGCAGCTTGGTGGCTCCATCTCGGGGTACAACTCCGACATATCGTATGATGTGTCGCAGCCGATCGAGCAGCAGTAATCCTTGAGGTCGCTCTTTTTACTGCAGTGGCTTCCGAGCGCAAGACCCCGGAGGATGAGGAGGGCGAGAAGTGGCAGAGGAGGAAGCGCAGCCGCGCACTCAGGAGCTGAAGCCGGCATGCGCGCCAGGCTTAGGACCGCGACGCCCAGCAGCAGGGTTGAACGAACTCTCTGTCTCTCTCTCTCTCTCTGCAGTGCCGCCGCCCCAGCCAGGCCTATTCCGCCGCGCCGAGTTTTGCCCGGCGATTTGGGTCGGGGAATTTGTCTGAGTTTATCAATAGGAGAATCTTCCCTGTTGCGCTTTTGGGGGAAAGCAAAACAACTCTCTCTCACAGCAGACAGGCTCGACACAAGTGCGAACTGGCGCGTGCTAGCACTATCACAGGCTCGCCAGAAAAAGAATTAGAAAAAGAATTTGAAAAATGTCAAAGTTCCTCGCACGACACTAGGCACGGGCTGGCGCGCACTGGCACTAACACAAGTACACCACGGGAGCCGCCTAAGCGACTCCTGCGAGGACGGCGAGGCACTTAGCTCCGTGCACTCGACCGCCCTCGCCGCACCCAGGCAAGACGGGGAGGGTAGTGGAACTGACGGCGTGTCAACTCCAGTAGTTCCTCGGAATGCCCATGTGCTCCGCAGCAAGCTGCATGTTATCCGCATTCAGCAGCTTCTCAAATTCG